CATATAAATTTTCGCAGTAAAGATTTTGGATCGCTGCTGAAATACACGGCGGTAGATCCCTGTAGGAAATAATCAAAACAAATTTAACCCATTTTTTCATTATTTTAGATAGATTATCATTTATATATTCCTCTACTGTATATATAATTTTAAGTTCCTAAATTTAGTTCATATGTGTATAGAATAATTTACACAAAAAAAAAAATTATAGCGATTTATAAATGAATTACAGGGCTATATATGAATGGTTATTGATCTATGTATGATTTTTATTTATTGACCGTAGAGGCTAAAGAAATTTAGCATCCGACATATATTTGAAATTGATATTTCACACATATGCTTTTTTCATAGGCCAACCCCCCTCAGTATACGTTTTATAAATGATGTTGAATTGAACACCCACGTCGTCAACTGCCAACGTGCAGAGTATATCGAATGTGGATCATCGTTTGTCTAGACACAAAAAAAAGATGAACGTTCGAATTTGATGACGCCTCAAAATTTACCATTTTGTGAAACGTATTTTTTCATATATGTATTTTTTAGTCACAAAATTTCTTTGAAATACTGAATATACCTACATATTTATTTTAATTTGTCTCTACGCAAAATTTAGTCATTTTTTATTTTCACTTTACTTTGTTGCAGACAGTCATAAAATAATATTTAAACTAATTCATTGTGAAATAGTGGCTATTTTTAATAATCTCAAATATTTGACAATGATTAATGAGTCATCAAGAATTCAGATTCAAGATTCGAAACAGGAAATGTTAAATTTTTAGTTTTCATTCTATTTCGAAGAAAAATTATAAAAGTGAAAGGCTTTCAGTTTTTTATTTATTTATTATTTTTTTTTTTTTGCATCTTTTTGATTTTTGCCTCTGACCAAAATGTCTTATTTTAGACTTTTCGAAAGTAGTTATGAAGAAAATCAAAAGTCGACTTTATGATTTCGTCATAAATCAAAAGTCAACTTCGATGTTTTGACTTTTCGAAATAAAAAGTCGATTAATCCATTAGTCGAAAGTCGATTTACTTATCCCTAGGTCTTCGAAGATGAGCATTGTCCAACGGTTCTTCATAATGTGCAATTTACTCGATATTTATTAGAGATCGCAGATGTAAGGTTCGGGTGAAAAGTGGAAAAGAATGATGAAAACATACGAATCTCGATTTCTCGTCTTTGGGGAATTACAGTGGAGCAACAGACATTACAACTTAAATTACAATATGGCAACACGAATCTTCGAAAATTCGAATCCGAATATCGCATTTTCTATTCATTCAGAATATGGCGAGAATGTGAAAGAGAAAAATTTTTCATAAGCGAGATATCTCCCTTGCGAACAAGGCTGGATATGTTTTGCAAAAATATAGTCCATTCGATTTAACTTAAAACGTATGATAAAATATCCTACAATAGCCTCAAACAAAGATATAAAACCTTTACTTCATGAACATTAAGTTTACCGCCAAAAAAAATAATTTCACTTTTGACTAAAGGTTTACACTGGTGGCCAAAACTAAAGCAACTGAAATTGGAAACATAATAAATGAACTGTATTTATTTATTTATGCTTTTTTTTGGAAAAAAGTTATAGTGAAAGTTTTTTTTTTCAGAAATAAATATGTAATTTACTCATAAACAATAAAAAACAAAAAAAATAGAAAAGCAAAATTTATTTTGAAATGAAAACTATTCTATGGAATAGTTTTTATTTCCATTTCCAAGAAAACTTGGACAAAACTAAAGCAACTTTTGGATAGACCATTGTTTATAAAACCCTGATTTTTGACTCCCGCATCCAATCTTTGACATGTTTTGGTATATGTTCGGAGGTTATTGTCAAGCTGAAACATCCCAGCAAGCTATATTTTTTCTTCAGCGTTTTCCAACACATTTGTATAAACAATCCGATCCATCATAAATCTCGTAAATATATCAAACTCAATAAAAATAAAAACAGTCCAATACCTCCTACATATGTGCCCTTGAAACACTGTGTCTTGAGCATTAAATTTTTAAACTTTGTGACTATTATTTTTTTTATGTCATGTCTTTAATGTTTAACTTTAATTCATACGAGAGCATAATATTTCTCCACTGAATCGGATTCCAATTTCTATGACCTTTTGCGAAAGTCTTTATACACCTTTTTCAAATGTTATTGAAAACATTTAAATTGCAATTCGAGAATTTCATTTGTAATTCGAAAACTCAATTTGCAATTCATAACATTTCAATTGTAATTCGAGTATGTAATTTGTAATTCACATCATTTCATTTGTAATTTTAAACTTTTCGTATGAAATTCCAAAAATTACATTTGAAATTTAAAAAATTTCATTCATAGTTCGAATATTTCAATTTGAATTTCGTCGAGTTTAATTTGAAATTCAAAGAAATCCATTAGAAATTCAAAGAATCTAATTTGAAATTCATAACATTTCACTTGTAATTCGTAAAATTTCAGTTGTAATTCATAACAATTCATTTCAAATTCATACATATTCCTTTTGTGTTACAATAATATTTTTCGTATTTAAAATTAAATGTTATGAAAAACAAATGGAATTTTATGTATTTCAAATCAAATGTTAAGAATTTCAAATGGAATTATTTAAATTTCAAATGGAATTTTATTAATTTCAAGTAGAATTTTATGAATTTCAAACGCAAATAATTGGAAATTAAAATGGAAGTTTATGAATTTCAAATGGAATTCTATGAATTTCGAAAGGTATTCTAGGAATTACAAATGAAATTCTCGAATTACAGCTGATAAGTTGTGAATTGCAAATGGAATTCTCGAATTGCAAATTATATGTTGTGAATTACAAATGGAATTCTCGAATTACATTTGATATGTTTTGAATAAAATGTGAAAAAGGTGTAGTTTCCGGGCATGTAGGCCTGCTACCATAGCTCGTCCGCGCTCTGTTCTACACCTTTTTCAGAAGTTAATCAAAACATTTCAATTACGAGAATTTCATATGTAATTCGAAAACTCAATTTGCAATTCAAACCATTTCATTTGTAATTCGAGAATGTAATTTGTAATTCATAACATTTTATTTGTAATTTTAAACTTTTCATATGTAATTCAAAATAGTCCATTTGAAATTTAAAGAATTTCATTTGTAATTCGTATATTTCATATATATTTCAAATTCGTATAGTTGTGATTTGAAATTCAAAGAGTTTAATTTGAAATTCATAATATTTCACTTGTAATTCATAAAATTTCAGTTGTAGTTCGTAACAATTCATTTCAAGTTCCTACATATTCCTTGTGTGTTACCAATAATATTTTTTGAATTTTAAGTTAAATGTCATGAATAACAAATGATATGTTATGTATTTCAAATGCAATTCTTTAAATTTTAAATGGAAATTTATTAATTTCAAATGGATTTTTATGAATTTGAAATGCAATCCCTTGAATTTCAAATGGAAGTATATAAATTTAAAATGGAATTCTATGAATTTTGAAAATGTTTGTAATTCGAGAATTGTATTTGTAATTGATAGAATACAAATGTAATTCTCGAATTACAACTGATTTGTTATGAAATGCAAATGAAATTCTCGAATTGTAAATTATATGTTGTAAATTACAAATGGAATTCTCGAATTACATTTGATATGTTATGAATAACATGTGAAAAATGTGTAGAGGTTATATCCAACGAAACCCGTCTCACAAATTCCGTTGAACTCTTAAATGATTACTTTTTACTGCTATGACAATTTATGGATCAGTACGAACTGATGTTCTTTTGCAGTCTGCCTCCGTGCTGAACTGTCTCTACTGATATAGTGGCATAAAATCAACAAATAATTCTAGAAATTACTGATTTATTCATGGAATATTTCTTCGAAATCATATTCTGTGATTATTTTCACAATCACTGGTAATTAGCTGTTTTATCGAAGTACTATATTTGTTTCTTGCAATTTTTATTTTTTTTGACAGTAAATCAAAATTGAAAAACATACACATGCTATTGTAAAAGCCCCATTTAAAAATGATCTATCAAAGCAATTATACAACTAAGGCAACTCTACACTCCGAATAGCTCATGTATTCGGACTGTAGAGTTGCCTTAGTTTTGTCCAAGCCTTAGACACCATTTTCTTGACCATAACTTATTAATTACTACATAAAGTGATTTAAAACTGAAAAAGCCAACGATATCTTTATTTTTGAAAAAGTTAAGCGGCATTTATTACCCCTTGCAATTTTAGTTGCTTTAGTTTTGGCCACCAGTTTAGAGAGCACTGTTCGATTGACACAAATTTTTTGTGGCATTCGTTGTTTCTAACAATCGTTTAAATTTTGAAGTCATATTAGGAGGACAGTATCTTGAGCGGATTTGTTCGAATTAATTAAATAAGTAATTTATTTGAAACGAATATGATGGATTAAGAAGAAATAAAAATCAAATCAAATTAGACTTTGAAACACTAACAAATAAAAACAAAAACATACAAATTTGCCACCAACAAATATTTTGTTGATAATAAATAATCTTGAGTGGAAATTTCACAAATTACGTTAATAACTTTATATTGAGATAATAAATATTTGTTAACTAATTTTTCTGTGTGATAAAAATCCAACTCGTGCTATTGCAATAATAATTTTTATAAGACGGCAATAAATTAATATTGCAAATTTGAATTTAAACAACAATGGAGAATTTACACACACAAAACAATGTTTGAATGGACAATAATTTCCCATAGCGCCGTTCTATAAAGATAATATATATGAATTGCATTGCACATTTTATTGTTTAGGCATTCATTATTTTCATTGCACATATTTGATTTAATATAAATAATTCAAATAAAGTGATGGGTTTACGTCTTCAATAATTTCAATTTAAGTATTAAATAAATAAAACGGTATTAAACTCCACCCTGCGAATAGCTTTTTTTGGAAAATACAAATTAATTGTTTTTTATTACACTTTTTTTTTGTTTCTAGGTCATATTGCATTTAGTGCATTGGATGATGCCTCACATTCTGTTCATGTTTATAGCATTAATGGCACTAGCTTAGGTTCCAAATATGTTTCCGGTAGAGTTACAGGCTTGGCGACCGCCTCGGATTATCTCGTTGTAGCTGATGATGCTGGAGATATAACATTGAGTCGTTTGCATGGGTAAGTGCATGGATGCAATAACAACAAAAGTTTTGATTTTTTTTATTAAAAATCAGTAGGTTTATTATTTATTAAAATAATATATCTGAATTTATTATAAAATAATATTGCTTTTATAAAACAATAAACTAGGTTTACCCTTGGCTATTTTACAATAGCAAATTAGAGAAAAAAAACATGTTTAGCTTAAACGGTGATAAAGAGCGGTTGCTTTTCTCATAACCTGAAGATGACTGCCGAAGAGAGTCGAAATATTGGAAAATATAAATAAACAAAAACGGAAACCAGTAAGCCGACTATTGATACCCTTCACCACTTTGGGTATATTCAATCCTAACAGACGTAGCATTTTTGTAGGACCATCAACATGAAATTAAACATTCTGAAAGCTATACTACATTTGGCCAGATATAGAGTTTCTTCTTACATGGGACAAAATTATGTAAATAAATTTACATTCAACAGAAGAAGTCAATTGTGAAAAGTCAGCGTGCTTTTAAAACATTAAAAAATGTGAGAAGTGCGCCTTCTAAGAACACCATTAAGCGTTTATACGAAAAATTTTCGACTGGTAAGGCTCTTTCTAATCCGAAGAGGCCATATAAAAGTCGACCAAGGCGATCGGCCGACAATATCGCTGCCGTATGAGCCAGTGTTGAGAGGTCCCCAAGAACATCCCAAAAACGCCGTTCTCAGCAGTTGGGCATGGCTCGGTCCACTTTACAGCGATTATTCGAATTGCATTTGTTCCCGTACAAAATTCATTTGACGCAAAGAATGTTGCCTGCGGACAAGCCTCGTCGATTGGATTGGGCTCAAAGAGTCATCGAAATGACCGAAGATGACGAGCAATCTTGGAACAAAATTATCATGTCCGATGAAGCCCATTTCACATTGAATGGGACCGTAAATAAGCAAAATTGCCGTTTTTACGCCACTGAAAATCCTCAGGAGATTCAAGAAGTGCCTCTTCATGACGAAAAAGTCACAATTTGGTGCGGCGTTAGTGCGAAAATGGTCATTGGGCCGTTTTTCTTCCAAAATGAAAATGGCCATGCTGTTACCATCAATCAGGAGCGTTATCGCAACATGATAACCAATTTTGTGATGTCAATTATTCGTCGAAAGCGTATGAGGCAGTTCTGGTTTCAACAAGACGGCGCTCCACCGCACACAAGTCGCATAACAATCGATTTTCTGAAGAATTTGTTTCCGGGCCGTTTGATGTCGAAAAGTGGTGATTTGGACTGGCCACCGCGTTCGCCCGATTTGACGCCGCCTGACTTCTTCTTGTGGGGATATTTGAAGTCAACGGTTTACGTTAACAAGCCAAGGACCGTAGAAGAGCTCAAGGACAACATTCGTGAAGAAATATCCGCTATTCCGGCCGAAATGTTGGCAAAAACGATGGAAAATGCAGCAAAAAGGGCACAATAGGTCATCAACGCCAGAGGCGGCCATTTGAGAGATATCATATTCAAAAATTGATGTAAAAAAATCTACTTGGAACAAATTAAATGATTAACATTGCCAACCGCCAAATTTTTATTTTTTTCTTTGATAAAAAAAAACATGGGCCCGTCGAATATGGGCAACCCTGTATATGTAAATCTGAACCGATTTTCACGAAATTTAACACACATCGTTCTAGACTTAATTAAGTACGCTTTGCAAAATTTCGTGCAAATCGGAGGATATATGGGGACTTTGGTGCACTATTTAGCTAAAATCGGACGAAAATATATATGGGAGCTATATCTAAATCTGAACCGATTTTTCACAATTTCAATAGGGTTCGTCCTTGGGCCAAATAAATGAGCTATGCCAAATTTCAAAAATGCGATCTGTACTTTGTTTACAATTTAACATGGACAGAAAGACGGACGGACGGATATGCATAAATCGACTTAAAAAGTGATTCTATGCATATTCTCAAAAGGAACCATGTGTCTATCTCGTTTCCTTTTGCCTGTTACAAAAACATGCACAAAGACATAATACCCTGTACCACAGAGTGGTGAAGGATATAAAAACCATAACCATGACATAGAGCTAGAGAAACAAAAATCCACAAGAATTAACATGTCACAGGTCAACAATAACAACAACAAAAAGAAACAAATATACACAGAAAAGTCGGCGGATATTCAGTCAAGGACCACCAAAAAATCTAGTATTTATTAAAAAATATGAAGGCCAGACTTGAATTCACCAACGTTTATCTCCACTGGACTGTCCAAAAATAGGGGAATGCTCTGTATTCTGACGAATCTGAGTTCGATTTGAAGGATTAGATGGCATAAAGCGTAATCGCAGTCCAAAATGTACAACGGTTGAATCCAATTCATAAAATTAAGTGTCGTTTCATGTAGCGTGGTATATTAAAAGATCTGATTCTGCCTTAAGTTGAGGACGAGATGTCAAAACATACGCTAAAATTGTCAAAGTCAAAACATACGCTAATCTTCAACAATTCGATTGAAGTTCTGCCTTGGCCCCCATTCCTTGATTTTCATTCAATCCAGAACTTGTTGGAGATCATAAAATCAAAAATCAGTCGAGAAAATTTTTAAAACCAAAGAAGGATTATTTGAAGTTGGAACAATAGCCTGAAATAATTAATACTTTAATATCCTATATGGCTGAAGGATGTACGAGTATCCTACACAATAAGGGACTCCAATTATCGATGTCATCCAAACTTTGTAATTCGTAATATTTTGTTCAAACATTAAATCAAGTTCGAAGATGGCGTATATCGGTGCACTCCTTCTTGTACCTCCCCCACAAAATGGTCAAATATTTTCAGAAATTTAATTTTTTTAATATCATTGCGAACGGACTATCTGATTTGAACCAAATTTGGCACAATTTAATATTTTAACCATGCCTAATGCCATAATGTTGGGTCTTATATATCCATTCTTTCTAGTACCTCCCTTACAAAGAGTCAATATTTTGAAAACTTTGAAATTTCATAAAAAACGAACATAATATCCAATTTCATCAAATATTTACACAACGTAATATGATTTTCTTACATAGGCCAATTTTGAAGATGACACCCGTCGCTCCACTCCATCCTTTGCCTCCACCACAAAGTGTCCACATTTTTTAATCCAATAAAAAGTTAGTTAAATGTCTTAAAGCCTTAAAAATTAATGATGCTATCAAAAATGTACCTCTTCGAAAATGATCGGACCAAATCCGATTTAAAGAACTTGAAGAAGATTTATAAATAAAACACTTCTCTGAAATGCTTTTTACTAAGGGTCCTTCCTAATTTTTTTTATTTTTTTAATTTCTAATATTGATTCATTTCATTTGAAAAATTTGCATATGAGCGTCGACTCATCTAAGCTTTATGCGGTTGTAGCAGAATGTTCATAACATCACATTGCCATAGAAACAAATGGATTAGAACAAAGGGCACTCAACTGTAGTTTGTTGTCAACTGATTATGGCAAACATTTCACTTTTGTCTTAAACAACTTATCAAAATTATTTGAATTGTGATTTAAGTGTGTGTTTTTGTTGTCTTTAAAGTGCAACCATGATTTCTTATCAGGCATCAAAGCGTATGCCGCCCTAATTACGTTTACTTCTTATCTCTCTTTTATTCTCTAGTACAAATTATATATTTCTCGAACGATAATCAGTGCATTTTCATGTTCATTTAAATCTAATTAATTGTCTTTTTCTTTTCTTGTTTAATTTCAGACTGAAGCCGGTATTCGATATACCATTGCACGTACCCATACAAACGGTGGTGGTGACGCCAGGCAACACCCACATTTTGGCCCCCTTGCGTGATGGTCGTTTGGCCGTAGTGGCAGTCCATTTGCCATTGAACAGTGCCAAAAAACATCTGGTGCTGAATGTCTAAGTTCTCAATGAATGAATGAATGAAAGTTTGTAGAATATATGATGGATGCTGGACAATATTTGGACACATTTGTCACACACACACACACACTTCAAACCTCTCTCTATGTCTGTACATCTGACATTTGTGTACATCGATCTAATTCTGTATTTAAATAGTCTTAACTATAATTAGAATGAAAGCAATCTATCAACGTATCTGTCATAACTTAAATAACACTCTACTCTATATCCACATATAATGTTCGTTCTGTCACTACATATTAAGATTTTGTTTAGTTTTTCTTTCTTTTTTTATTTTTTTTTTATCATTAGAAATGTGAAAATTATTCACTTAAAACACTGTTATTTTCCACAAGTATTTTTAAACATGTAATTTTAGTATTTCAAGGCGTGAAAATTTTCCATTCAAGCACTGACATATTCCATATGGAATTTCAAGTCCTCGTATTTTTTCCAAGAGCGTTTATTTTTACAATCAATATTTTTATGCAAAAAAAGATTTATTAACTGACTGTTGCTCTAAAATTAGATGTTAACAAATTCGAGTGTTTTTCTAACAGATTACTTATTTTTTATTTCAAAATGCACGAACAATTTCCATCACCTTCATTACCGTATCTGCAACAATTTTCTATTTTTTGCCTTTTCGAAGTTTTTATCTTCTCCCGAATTTAAAATAAAAAGTAAAACTAAAAAAATCATAAAATGGTAACCAGAAATACTTAATTCTGATTGCACATTTCGTTGGGTTACAAACTTTATACCCTTACAAAAAAGGTGTGTAGGGTATAAAAATCCGGGTTCAAAAATACTTTTTAAAAAAAACAAAGCTTATAGATGCCCCCTAAAATATATTTCCTTAAAACATAAAATTCTTAAAAATTCCGCTCTCCTGCAAACAACAAATCTTGACAAAAAATTATTTTCTGTTCGTTTTGAAAATTTTCTTTCTCAGAGTGATTTTCAATTGTTTCTCTTTTACTATAAGTTGGAATGGATATTTATCATTCCATTTGCAACACCTAAATACATTCACCGTCGAGAGATCCAATAGCCATGTCCGATTGTCTGTCTGTTGAAATCACGGTAAAGCTCTCAATATTTTAAAATGGACGATAATGACTTCCCATTATTTTCAAAATGACTAATGACTTTAATGAGGCAAAAATGTGCATCATCAAAATATTGGTTTTAGACCCCAAGTTTCTTTGGACCAAATCCGTTTCAGACAATTTGGAGTCGAGTCGATTTGAACTGCCCACGATAACTCTCGAAGGGAGTAACCGATTTCATCCAAACTTTGTACATCGGAATATTTCTTCCAAACAAAAAAATTGTTAATAGCATGCGAACAGACTATCCGATTTAAACCAAGCATTGCACAAACTAATCATTTTACCAAGCCGTGATTAAGCCTGAAGATGGGACTCATTGGTCCACTCCCATAAAGGGTCTTCATTTTCAATATTTATAAAGCCAATATCAGGGGAATGGATTGTCCGATTTGAACCAAACTTTACACATTGTAATATTTTTACCTATTCTAGACCAAATCCGAAAATTGAACCCATCGTCCCACTCTTTTTGGTACCTCCCCCACAAAGTGTCAAAATTTTGAAAATACGATAATTCAATGTCAATCGTATTGAAGGTCCGATTTAATCCAAACTTTGCAAATCGTCATACTTTTACCAAACCTAGATCATGTCCAAATATGGGACCCAACGATCTACTCCTTCTGATATCTCCCCCACAAACATTCAAACATATGTATATTTCTATAGAGCAACCACTTGCTCTATAGTAGTAGAAATTCACTCGAAGTTGTTGGATAAAAATCTACAGAAACAGTCAGTATATAGTAATTATGGCACGGTGCTTTAAAACCACAAATTAGTATTTTTACATTTGAATGTAAAATGCAGAAAGACCCTTAGGAATTATTGAGGATATTCTTAAGTAGATTTTCTCAAGTCCGTCTGACTGGCTATGTAATTTTTGTAAGCTATGAATATTTAATATCTATTAGAGATTATATTTTATTGTACCAAAAAAACCAGTCCTTCTGCAAATAAAAATCGGTTCTGATTGAAATATGGTTTTTATACATAAAATTGTCCCATTCCACGTTAATTCCACATAAATTGCGTGTCAAGTTCGCTTTAAATCGGTTCAGAATCAAATAAACAGCCCATATTTCGATTTCACCAAAGACACACACCTGTCCGATTGAAACGAAATTATGCATAGAGTGTCAAATCGATTCTAGAATGATGATCACCATAAGAATTGTCGACCATAAAAGATAGAATCGAATAGAACGGATTTTATATTTTATGGTCGGCTTTTATTTTGTAATTTTTATGGTGGCCATCATTTTAAAATCGATTTAACACACTGCGCAAAAAAATTCCTGCCAATTCAGTTTCAAAAACTGTCTTTATTTCAGATCTTCCTTAGTGAGATTTCTGTGAACAAATTGACCTACAGGGTAGTACCCAGAAACGAGGAAAATTATCAAAACACTGTGCTAAATAATTACTTTTAAAATGTCCCTTTAAGCAACAAGAACAGCAACAACAACTATGACAGTATTTTAAATGCCTTTCTTAAACGTTCTTTCTAATCTAACTATATTTTCAAAATACAAAATATTAAAAAAGTATAACTGATATCAAATCCAACCCGTCCTTCGAATACAATAAAGTAGTTATTTATACAAATAGCAAGAAAATATATAAAGGCATGTTAGCCCCAGATGTAATTTTCAAAAAAATAAAAAAAAACAGTTCCCTTTCTCTATAAAGAAAGTTTATTCCAGTATATTTCACTTTTTGTTTGAAACTTTCCAATTTTATTAAATTAAAAAAAAAAAACATTCCTTGACGTTATTATATTCCCTATATTAAAAAAAATATTTATATTATTTTACTACACATAAAAATGCAATATTATTTTACATCCTCACAAGCATTTGTCAATTAATTTAACAACCCAATTATTTGAAACACATAATTATATAGCAATTGTACTATACTATATATATTTATTTTATTTTTACATTTTTCCAATACTTAATACATCTACACCTTGAGAGATATTTTAGAAAAACAAAATCGTAATTTGTAGAAAATATTAACAATGAAAAGTATATAAAAAATTATCCATAAACAATTTAAAAGTTTTTAAACGAATTAAAAAAATAATAATTGACGTTAATTGTGAAAAAGCCCCCCACAAAATACAATTGTATAGATTGTCTAAAGTTTATAATGAAAAAAAAAAATTAATACAAAATAATAAATAAAAACAATGTTGTTAAAATATAGATTAAAAAAAAATCATTTCATTTTATTTTTTACTGCGAGGTATCAAATAATAGTTGTTTGGTAAAGATTTGTTGCCATATTTAAAAATATATAGGGGAGAGGGGGCAACTTTGAACAGCGCTCATAAAATCTTGGTTTAATTTTTTCCGACCCGCTATCACCTTTTGTATATGGCAATCTTGTTCTTTTTCTGCGTAAACCACTTTGGCTTTACGCAGAAAAAGAACAAACATAACTAATGTAATTTCTTTCATATATATTTATTACAAAAAAAGTTATTATACATTTCCGTTAAATGCCACGGGTGGGGCACCTTTGAACATGCCCATTAAATTCGAGTCAAAAGCGGAGTTTTTAACTTTTGGCGACGATTTCTCAAAATTTCAAATGGCATAATAAGACTACGAATTTCGTATTTGTATTTTTCACCATATTAATTTTTGTTTTTATGTCATTTTATGTTTTAATAAATTTTGATCTGAATTTTTTAACTTTTGAAAATTTTTGTATATATTTTTTAATAAATAAATGCTTTTCTGATATGTTTGAATGAAATACATTTATAGTTTAACATAAGCACCGTTCAAAAATGTCAAGTCCTGTTCAAAGGTGCCCCCTGGGGGCAGTTTTGAACACTTTGATTTCCTCCCTTAAAACAGCAATAAAATATTTATATCAAGCTTTAAGTATGTCATATGTATATTCATTGTAAATGTTACATATGTACCTATTAGTTAAAATTTATAAGAAACCAAAAATTATAAAATAAAAAATTTATGAGGCTTGAAAGAAAAAAGTGTTCAAAGATACCCCCCTACATAAGGTTATTAGGTTTTTTTTCCAACTAAGTATATGAATGGTTTGTTGTGGGCTGTCCTAGGAAATGCGGCTGCCATCTATGGTTGCCTAGAAACAACGCTCTTTGAGTTTTGTGCATCGGTTGGGGACCTTGCTAATTTAGTATCACCATTTTCCTCCCGCAATTCCTATTTTTTGTTATACTCCCGTGTTGATGTCGAGATTGGTTAATAGCGGGCTTCGGACACCATTGGAACAAATTTGTCTTTGTAGGTTAAAAATATAATTACTTGATCGATAATTCAATTCCGTGCTACTTCTCTTGGGAACATAGGGCTTCAACAAAGCATCGCTATCTTAGTCTTTGTGTCAGTTTCAAATCATTGTTTTTTTTCCTGGTCTGCTGTGGGCTGTTCTAGATGATGGGGCAACCATCTGTCGTTGTCTAGAAACAACGCTTCTTTGAGTTTTGCATCGGTTGGGGTTCTTGATAATTTAGCATTGCCATTTTCCTCATGCAATTTTTATTTTTTGTTATCCTCCTGTGTTGATACCGAGGTTGTTTGTTAGAATCTCTTAGGTGATGCGTTGCCTGGAAACAATGCCACTTTGAGTTTTGCATCGGTTGGGGTCTTTGTTAATTTAGTGTTGCCATTTCCCTCCTGCAATTCCTATTTTTTATTATCCTCCTGGCTTGATGCTGAGGTTGATTATTAGAATCTCAGGGGGCTTCAGATAGGAACAATTTGGTCTTCCGAGTTATAGTAAGGTAAGAGACAAGCCCGATAGGTTTGGATGGGGCAGCAATGCTAAGCATCCGATCTTTAACCCTTTATGGTCCAATGTTGCCCATAGGCAACAAAATGTTCTAGAGCTTATA